AAGAGAAACTCCAGAGAGCATGTAATCCTGCCGGGGAAGACGCCGTGATGTGTGTTCACTCCGTACCAATACAGAGACCGAGGAGCAGAACACAAAGAAGCACAAACAGGTCCACAGGCGGCCTCATAGTCTATAAACTGGGTGCTTGAAACACCAGAGAGAAACAATCATGCACAACATGAAACGCCTCACAGACAGAGATAAGCTACACACGTCGCACACAGAGGAGCGTGATGAGTTCAGATCTATAAAGTCCAGATCAGACCGAAGACTGACGACCAGACGAGTTCAGACAGGACGCTGCTGTCAGAGCTGGTGGTTGACAGGAAGTGACCGCCATGAGACGGCGTATCGTCTCTAGTCACCAACTCTCTGGGCTTTGGATCTGTAACGCTGCCAGGAAGTGACCACCATGAGACGGCGTATCATCTCTAGTCAACAACTCTCTGTGCTTCTGATCTGTAACGTTGACAGGAAGTGACCACCATGAGACGGCGTATCATCTCTAGTCAACAACTCTCTGTGCTTCTGCTCTAATTTGCAGCTTTTCAGACTTATTTTGTGGCTGAATATAATTTGTAGCTTCTTAAAATCTGAATGAGGATAGTGATAGTGAGATACTGGCTACAGTGATGAAACAAAACCAGCATCAGATGGACTGTATTCATAATCAATACGCCACAATAAATAACCAGTGCCAATTCATCAGTCAATGAGAATGTGTGTGTGTGTCTGTTTGTGTGACTGTGTGTGTGTGTCTCTGTCTGTGTGTGTGTATGTGTGTGTGAGACGAAGACAAAATGGCTGACAGCAGCTGATCATAGGGGAAAAGGAAAACCTCTCACAGTGGGTGGGGGACGTGTCTGTGACGTCCAATGTGACATAACGTCATTTGTGTTTTCACTCTATATATGCTTCCTTTAGGTAACATCATTAGAAATCACTCTGTAAATTTCCATTGTTATGCAGATGATACACAGTTGTATTTATCGATGAAGCCAGAAGAAAGTAATCAATTAACTAAACTCCATAACTGCCTTAAAGACATAAAAACCTGGATGAGCACCAATTTCCTGATATTAAATTCAGACAAAACTGAAGTTATTGTTCTTGGCCCCAAACAACTCAGAGACTCTTTATCTGATGACATAGTTTCTCTAGATGGCATTGCTCTGGCCTCTAGCACTACCGTAAGAAACCTCGGAGTAATATTTGATCAAGATTTGTCTTTTAATTCTCATTTAAAACAAACCTCA